AATTGCTCAAACTCTAGGTCAATTTGAACTCAAGGTCAGCGTTTCAAACTCACCAGCCAGTCCTTGGAAATCCTATATAGGGTTGCTGTGAGTCAGAACAGACTCAATGGCACTTAACAACAACAACAACATCAAGTTTGTTTAAATTTAATTTATAAGACTCCAGTCTCTGCTCATTTTCCATGAAGAGACAATGGAGCATAGTCCCAGCAGAAACTGGAAACAATGGGACAGTGGGATGGGCTGGGGTGCCCACAGAGATTATCTAGGGGTGGGGTGGGGGAGGGAGGATGACTTTAGGAACACTTGAGGTCCAGGTCAGCATCTCCCGATCATAGGACATACTTGTATCTCGGTGTGGCCATGTTTGGGCAAGTCAAGATTACATCTCAGAAAAAAAGGCCAAATTGCTCCTTTAGGCACAAAAATATTGCAAAATAGTATACTTACTTTAAATGGAATTATCTTTTTTTGTTACTAGCAAAAACAACCTTGCTTTTTAGATAACTGATAGTTTGCTTTATAGCCAAATTTGGAAATAGCCATCTGTCCACCCAATTGTAAGAGAATCATATTTGTGCTCTTTCCAAAGAAATGTGATTGAACAGAATATGGAAACTATAAAACATTATAATTAATATCACATAAAAATAACATTTTGTTGAAAAATATTCAAAATCAATTATAGTCCTACATCAGTGGAGAGCTACCCGAAATTCAAAACATCATTGCTTTTAAGGCAATTAATGGTTTGCTTTATAAACAGGGAATAGTTTTCTCACAATTGGTTTGAATATGGTTTCTGCAAGAGCGTAAATTGAAACAAACAAAAAACAAAAGCCCTTCTCTGGATTCCCTATGAAACAAAATATCTATCCTGAGTTCTGCTGACCACTGTAGAGCATGATTGCAAGTTAATTGTATAATTAAAGGTAGGACCTATTGACCAGGTAACTCATTCCTACACTGGTGAAAAATTAAAGACTGAAACTTTCAGTTGGAAGCTTAGAAAGATGAAACAGGTTGTATAAAACTAAAGTACAGTACCTTATCGGTTTTCTATTTTAATGTCAATGTCCAGATGGTGAGAACATTAATGTTTCTATGTGGTAAATGAGAGTATATAATTGGTATGTTCAGTATGAATTGTTGACTAAGTTACTTGATTCAATACTTGCTTACAAAAAAGTCATCTTGATGCATAAATTGGAAAAACCAATTCAGGAGCATAAGTTAAACCAAAGAGACAAAGGAAGTATATATTATTAACAAAAAATATAAAATACACATAAATTTTGCATTTGAGACTAGGCAAGATTTGCTGAAGAGATGAAGTGGAACATACTATATTTCTAAATTTATTTCAACATGTTCCATTGTTCTTTTGGGTTTTTGCTTTAGTTTTACTTAAATTTTTTTTCTTTATGGAGTTTCCATCATCAATACAAGATACTAGATATGGAAGAATTCAGAAGTATTTCCTCCTGTTTTCACATCTTTTCTGGAGGATAGTGGGGCAGAGAGCAGTGAGTGTGTATGCCTGTCTATGTCTCTAACATTTAAGGTTAAAACACACAACTAACAAATATTTTCCAAGTCAAGCCTAAAAGTGAAATAAAATGATAAGAGTTTACGATTGGAAAGAGGATGTTTAAATATCAAGGAGGCACAGAATCCAGTCTACCTGCCATCTGTCAGTTTGTCATACTCTGGCAGTTTGTCTGTTGCTATGATTCTGGAAGCTATGCCAACAGCAATTTAAATCCCAGCAGAGCCGACTATGGTAGACAGGTTTCAGGAGAGTTTCAGACTAAGAAGAAGGAGAAGCAGGCTGATGGTGGTTGGTGGTTATGTGACGTGGAGTCGGTTCCGACTCATAGCGTCCCTGTACAGGATTTTTGAGGCTGTAAATCTTTATGGGAGCAGAAAGCCTCATCTTGCTTCTGTGGAACAGCTGATAGTTTTGAATTGCTGACCTTGTGTTTCGCAGCTTGATTCGTAACCATTATGCTACCAGAGCTCCTCTCTGAATGGCTAGTCACTGAAAAACTTATCAATAGCAGCCTAACATTGTTGGATATAGAACTGGAACCTGAGCCCCTCAGGGTGTAGGTACTGAAAATGTGTTGAGAAAGAATTGCCTCCTCAGTGTAGTGATTTTGTTAAAGTGTCGTGATGGTTCATACTCATATTCAAATCCTGTATAGGGTTTCCAAGGAGCTGTTGTTGGATTTGAACCGCCGGCCTTGTGGTTAGCAGTCCAGTGATTATCTTAATGCACCATACCAGCAGTACGCAAGGTAGGGTTTACTTAATGAAATGAATGGAGCAAAGCTTTTGAGACTGCAGCTTGGCCAATTGTAGCTGCCCAGGATGTGCATTGGCTGGAAATCGAACCCAATCTTTTTATTGAAAGACAAGAATTCTACCACAGAATCACCACTGTTCGCAGAGGAAAAATATAGACCATAAAACTGTTATCTAGACTTAAATGAAAGAATGATGCTTTTCTCTAATCAGGTATTTATTCCACTAGATTCCAACTAATTGCTTCACTTTAATCATATTTTTAAGGAGGATGTTCTTAAGGGACTTAGACTCAGCAGAGCTTTGCTAGACCAGTTATACCACCCATAGAGCATGCAGGGAGAAAGGAGAGCAAGCTTTAACAACTGCACAAACAGGGATCCTTGAGGAAATGACTGGTGTCATTGTGAGAACTTTTCGAGTCAGTTCTGACTCATAGAGACACAATGGACAACAAAACAAGACTCTGTCCCATCCTGCGCTTCCTCACTATTGTTGCGTTTGAGTCCATAACTGCTGCTGCTGTATAGTCCATCTCATTAGGGTCTTCGGTTTTTGTTGACCCTCCACTTTACCGAGCATGATGGCCTTCTACAGGGATGGGTCCCTCCTTGCAACCTGTTGGATCTAAGAGAGATGGAAGTCTTCCCATCCTGTCATCTTAGGAGTATTCTTGTTGTACTTCTTACAACACAGATTTATTTGATCTTCTGGCACAACATGATACTTTGAATGTTCTTCTCCAAACCATAATTAAAATGCATTGATTCTTGAGATGGAGCAGCTTGAGACTCTAGAGTCAAGGAGGAAGAGGGGCTGTGTGCTGGTGGCCAGGCGGCTGTATACCCTTTGGTTGTTTGAATGGCTGTATATTCCTGAGTGCTTCGGTGTACATCCAAAAAACACAGGGATTGGAAGCAAATGCTATTGCATGATGATGCATGGAGGAGATTGTAATCATTGCAATGAAATGAAATACGAAAAGATGAGTATAAAGGTGATGCTCTCCATGTAAACTATCACTCAATTCACAATAAAAACCTAAAAAAAAATGAATTGATTCTTCTGTGGTCTTCCTTATTCATTGTCCAACATGTAAATGTATATGAGGTTATTTAAAATAGCATGGCTTGGATCAGGCCCAACTAAGTCCTCAAACTGATATATTTGCACTTTAACACTTGAAAAAAGTGTTGTGCAACAGGTTTGTGTAATGAAATCTGTCATTTGATTTAGGACCAGTGAATTATCACACAATTGCAATTGTACTCACCCATTCCTCGCTTATGGACATGGTTAGTTTTCAAACACCAGATTGTTATGTGAAAATCAGTACTGTGTGAAAATGAAGGATGACTAACTACAAGAGGTCACAGAAAGGAGGTGACTACATCATTGCATAACTGCCATTGTTGTAAGTCATTACAAGACTGGCCGCTGAGACTTGTGTTCTAAGCAAGTTAACGTGTAACATTAACCATCACAGCCAGCACTACTTTCACTTCACACTTAGGTTCAGTGCCAAAAGAGATTACTGAAACTTTTAACATAATCGCCAATCTTCTATATTCTATCCAATAGTAGCAAACGTGGAAGCAGGATAATGAGATTTTGCCACACTTACTTTGGACATATTATCAGGAAAGGCCATGGCATCATTTCTGGTCAAAAGTGTCATCAAAGACGAAGTAAACCCTTTATGAAATGGAGTAAAATGTATGCACACAATGGACTCAAATATACCAACGATTGTGAGAGTGCACAGGACTGAGCCAAGTTTAGTTATAGTTCATGTAACTATGACTTAGAACCACAGACCAGGTAGTTTGACAACACACTTTGGGTTCCAGGCATGAAAAATGCCACTGAGCACCCAGGACATCATCCCTGCTTTCCAGCTCCTTGCAAATCCTTGCACCGTTTTAAACTCTCGTGACCCATACTCACATACACATATTGTGTTAAAGCCCGCCCCCCCCCCAGATTATTTCTTGTATTGCTTTTCTTTCCTGTGAAGCTGTTACATTCTTAATGACCAGACATTCCCAGACAGAAAAACTAAAGTTACTCCTTATCTTACTATAAAGCCAACAGAGTTTGGGTATCTTAGAACACATTTCTGGAGGTGGTGTTATTGACAAAGGGGTGATGATGCTGGTGATAAAGCTTCAGATAAGAAATCAATAGCAGTACCATTTTTATGAGAGAATTATAGGAAGCAGTCAGATGAAATGTCCAAATTCTTAGTTTTCTGTGGAGACCCATTGAAATCAGGACATTCATTTTGCCCTGTCATTCTATATGTGAGATCATGGAATCCTATCAGAAGACCCCAGAAGAGGTGAAGAGGCAAAGATGAGACAATCGTTCAACAGAGGATGAGTTCCATAGCATCTATTACCCTGGGTTATTCATGGTTCCTGTAGTGACGAACATTGTGAGCCCAAGGTCTCCCTCTAGAAGATGGAGTAGAAATACACTAGCAGGCATCTTTGCCTCCATCCCTTCTAACCTTTCCTAGTCCTATGTTCCCATATTTTCAGGAAGTAAGGCAGATGGTGACATCAGCCCTCTAGGTAGAGACAGCGCCAGTGGCCAAATTCAGTACTGATGCTTATCATTCTTGCAGAAACGTCATCCCCATTGTAGTATAAATAGTCCCGATTGTGGAAACAGCTTCCTAGGAGATGACCATGGCCCACACTCTCCGCTGGCTGCAGCTGCTGCTGCTGCTACTCTTCTGTTTCTGTGCCCAGAGTTTATTCCGGTCCCCAACTCAGAATGAACTACTGAACACAATGGTACATCCTCATGATGGCTGGTTTCGGCAAAGGCTTGATCATTTCACTCAACAGCGTTTTTTATTCTGGCAACAGGTAAAAAAATACTGACAAGGACAGCTGATGGTTGGTAGAGGGTGGTGTAAGTAAACTCAGGTTATAAGGAGGGTGCTACAGAATAGGTATAGAAGAGATGTTGAGTGTTTTCAACCCCAAGAGGTAAGCAAAACACTACTAACTGGAAGGCTAATTGTTCAAACCCAGACAAAGGCACTTCACAAAACAATCCTGGTGCTCTGCCTCTGAGAGTTCACAGCCTTAAAAACCTTACGGAGCACCGTTCTACTCAAACACTCTTGGGCTCACCGTAAGTTGGAATGAACTTATGGCCAACTAGTGTGGGTTTTGGTTTGAGGACATTTCATTGAGCTAAAAAGCAATCCTAGGTGATCCGTCTAGTTTTGGGAAATATTTTCAGTTTCATTAGCAGCTGAGCAATTAACAATTTCACCACCAGGTTTATTTTCATATTTGGATTATTACTATCATATTGATATGTAAGGAACTCTGGTAGCGTAGCGGTTATGAATTGGGCTGTGAACCTCACGGTCAGCAGTTTGAAACTACCAGCTGTTCCTCCAGAGGAAGATGAGGCTGTCTGTTCTGTAAAGATTTACAGCTTCAGAAACCCTGTATAGGGTTGCTGTGAGTTGGAACTGACTCCACAGCACATAATCACCACCAACCATTTGTGTATTGCTGTTTGTTGTTGTTAAGTGCCGTGTAGTTGGTTCTGACTTACAGCAATCTCGGGTAGCAGAAAACCTCATCAGATTGGAATCTTGCATCTCATGGTTCGCAGTTCAGTGCTTATCATATTAGTATATGTTATTGATGAAAAAAAACCCCAACTAAACAATTACGTTAATGTTATTAGAAAGCCAATTTTTCAGTGTAAAAGAAATATTTCCAACCATAAGCTCAATCCAGAATCTTACCTTCTAAATTTGAATTTGAAACATTAGCATGAAATGCAATTAAATGCTAGCAATGGTTACACATTGCCAGTGTAATTTATGCTACTAGATTGTACCCTTGTGAATGGTTGAAATGATGCATTTGATGTGCTTATATTATCAGTAAAAGCAAAGTTTTTACTTTTTGTAGGCACAATGGTTTGATCGATGTAACTGATTTAGATGGGATCTCAGGGCCATATTGAACATCTGACAAATCAAATTGTATAGCCATCTAGTTATCATAAGTCCTCCTATGGTGCTGTAACGAGAGCACTAGGCCACAAGATTAGTGGTTCAAACTCACCAGCTTCTCCTCGGAAACCATGTACAGCATCGCTATGGATCGGAACCCACAAACAACAACAAGTTGTCTGAAACCCACAAACAAACCACAAGACCTACAAGATTATTTTTTCTTTCACAGAGATACTTAATTAATGATACCTTCTACAGACCTGGAGGTCCAGTCTTTCTGATGCTTGTAGGGGAGAAGGCTCTTAATAGAATCATGCTATTAAAGAAATACGCTTGGATTACCTATGCTGAGAGACTGGGTGCCTTCTGCATCCTTCTGGAACACAGATTTTATGGACACAGCCAACCAACAGGGTAAATTTAAGCGTTTCTTTTTTGTAATTACTTTCATTACTGTTGCATTTCTTTCTCTTTTTTATTTAGGCAGTGTTGACTCTAAATATGTTTCTTTTTTAGGAAGCAGAGTATTTGAAAATTCAAATGATAAGAAAGAAAACCTAGGGTTGAAATTTGGGGGTAGGAGCAATATTCTTTATAAAAATGATTCATTTAAAATATTCTTAAAATAAAATGTATTCTTCATGTACCATAAATTTATATCAAAACCTTAGATTTTGATAAGCATGAAACAAACTGAAGTATGTATCATTATTTTTTCTGTTCCAATGAAATTTTATGATATGATAATTACTCTTCCCATAAATTAGGTGACCATTTTGTTAAAACAATTCATCAAAGGTATCTGGATGTGAAATTAAATTTCAGCTTGCAGTAGCAGAGAAAGACACAAGAATACGAGACTCACTTCTACTTCAGCACTTTAATCTCTCCACTTACTATTTTAATTTCTTCTCCCGGTAGAAAAAGACATACGATTTAGCTTACTTATTTAAAATTTTAAAGCGTTCATTATAGGAAGTCAAGCAAATAGTATGAAGTTTAAAAGTAGCTCTGAAGGTTATAAAAAAATCCAATTGAATGTCAAAGTCTTTACTTCTCAATAAAATTAGCAGCAAGTGTTTCTTCTTAACAACGCTGAGAATGTGATTCAAGGCATTGAAGTGATACTTTTATTATATGAGACATAATTCTTTGTGTTGCTCATTTTAACAGACTAATAATTACTGTAAGTCTTACCCCTTTCTTTCCAGCTGTGACTCCACAAACATGAAATTTTGAATTTCAAGTCACATAATTATAGACAATGTGATGAAACTCCTATATTCCATAAGTACTACATTTCTTTGTGAACAATTTTGTTGTGTGTGTGTGTTAATGATGCTATGATAGCCTATAAATAGTGTCAAGTCTGGCCTTTCTTAATCTTTCTATGAAAGTAAACTGCTGTTTAAGAATGGAATGAACATGGTAGAGCAAAAGCTATAGTAAATAATTTGTTTGCTGTTGAACTGAACTTCATGTGGTGCAAACAGGATGTTAGAAAGAACCTACAATAGAATTTGGACTTTGGTTGAATATTTGGGAGGACTCTTCGAACATGAGAACTTTCTCAAGCATTTGCTTTTAGAAAGTTGGGGTGGAGAGAGAGTCCATAAGCCTCAGGCTTCCATTTCCATTCCGCTGATTTGAACTTGATCAATCAGGCTACATCTGGCTTCAAAGTTGCAATGGCAATGCCTATTCTAGGAAGCCTTGTGCTGAGCAAAAATCCAAGGTATTAATTACCTACAGAAGAATTGGGGAGTGGACACTAGAGGGAAATGATAAGGTTCTCAGTAGGAAAATTGCTGAAACAAATGTAAACTCTTGCTTCTTGAAGCCGTAATTATATCAGGGCATACTGCTTTCAGAATGTGTCTATCACTTAATATTCCCAGAAGCAGAACAGAAGACAGCCTGACGCATTACATACATGCCAACTTAAGTATTAAAATTAATTTTGCCCATTTCAAAGGAGGAAAATAATACTCATAATTGTTACATTTTGAGAATTGAAAGGGTTAAACCTCTTCTTACATTGACTGGGCATTTTATTTTTTCTTTGTGACTTTTCTGTTATTTGTCTCCTTTTTAAATTCAGATTCAACTAATGATAACATCATGCAGTGAGGAGGGAGATGTTTTTCTTTCAGCAGTAAGGATTTAAAACAGTGTTAAAGAATGATCACCATTAAAAAGTATTTTTATTTTTAATTGCACTTAGTTTTCATGTCACAGAGAGCCTTAGGTTCACCTGGGGCTTTGTCTGGATAGGGCAGTAGAACCAATAAAAATATCTCATTACAAATAACAATGTTGTTGTTAAAGTGCCATTGAGTCGGTTCCAACTCAGACTCATAGCTACACTGCATAGAGTTTATAATAGATTTTCTTAATGCTTTGGTAAGCAAGTAAATGACTGATATTTTAATCCTTTCAAGAATGGATTCCTCTCTGACTCTATAATAATTTAATAGTTGTGATTCAGTTCCATGTATGGAAATAAAGGACACTAGGTTGTTGATGACAGGCATTTGAATCCTGCACAATGGTGACAAGAGGAAATATGATCATTACAATGAGATAAAAACCAGCCCTTAGTGCTAGCCCTGCATTTACATAACACTCACTGTCTGTCACTCACGTTATACTTCTGAAATGTCAAGTTTGACCTGACATAAATGCTCAATATATTTTCAGATAGGCATTTTTATTTTGACTAACCTGACATTTCTTTTTCCTTAACCAAGCTGATGTTTGTTTAGCCTCAACTTTTCTGATTTGGTTGTTGTCACAAACACAGTGTGGTTTTGCTTCAATTGCAGAGATCTGACTATTACCAGCCTCCAATACCTGAGCAGCAAACAAGTCTTGGCTGACATTGCCTACTTCCGGATTGAAATGGGACAGCAAATGAGGCTCACCCAAAATAAGTGGGTTGTATTTGGTGGCTCTTATGCTGGCATCCTTGCAGTGTGGTCAAGAATAAAATACCCCAACCTGTTTGCTGCAGCAGTGGGCAGCAGTGCCCCCCTAAAAGCAAAAGTGAATTTTTTTGGTGAGTCTAGCTGTGTATGGAAATCTCTGTGTAATGCGAATGATTAACTTGATCTCCTGATAACTGAGACTTTGAAGGCCCAATTTAACTCAGAGGCACTTGGAAGAAAGATCTGGAAATCTACATCTCAATCAGCCATTGGGAACCCTATAGAGCACAGTTCAACTCTGGTCACCTTGAGCTGAGATGGACTTGCCAACAACAGGTTTGGTTTTGATGGTGTTTATAGGCATACATAGGAGTCATGGAGACACCTTGGGTTAAGCATTGGACTGCTAAAGGAAAGGTTGCATCTGGAAAGATTCATAGCTTTGGAAACTCTATTTAATTAATATGTCCCAGTGTGGTGCTATGGGCTCAAGCTCACCAGCCACTCCTCAGAAACCCTATAGAGGGTCCCTATGATTTGGAACCAACTTGATGGCCCTTAACAACAACAACAACACTATCCTGTAGAGTCTCAATGAGTCAGAAGTAACTTGAAAGCAGTGTGGTATGGTTAGTTGGTTGGTTTTGCACCATAGAGTAGCTTCCAACTCATTGTAACCCTATATGGGGTTTTCCAAGACTATAAATCTTTGTGGTAGCAGGAAGCCTCGTCTTTCTCCCTCAGAGAACCTGGTAACTGGGACTCCTGACCTTGCAATTAGAAACCCAAAGCAAAACACTATGCCACCGGGTCTCCGTGGTTGGTATAAGTATATATATATGTGTGTGTGTTGTTATGTACCATATATATATATGTGTGTGTGTGTGTGTGTTGTTATGTCAGTAAACTCTGACTCATAGCAACCCTTTATAGGGTTTCTTAGCAGTACCTAGTGGGCTTGAGCCACCGACTTTGTGGTTGGCAGTCAAGTGCTTATCATGTAGCGCCATGCCAGTACTTCTGTGCATGTATTATATGACAAAAATATTAGTAAGTTAGTGATTCCCTTTAGAAGAGTGGCTCATTAATGCAGTGTTACTCAACTTGTGGCTCACATCGAACCTGAACATAGAACATGGAAGTTGTTTGAACAAAACTATTCAGCAAGATGTGTGTCAGACTGTATTTTTCACCAGATGCATCCATTCCATATGCTGAGCAATTAATCCAAGAAGATGGACTGTATGGAGAAGAATGTAGCATGAAGATTGAAGGAAGACTTATTAATGACATGCAGTATCTATACGAAATAGACTTGCTTGCTTAAAGCAAAGAGAACTTGAAGTAATGTCTTCAGTATGGATTGTTGTTCTTGTTAAGTGCTGTCCAACTCACAGTGACCACGTAGAAGGGTCCTGAGGTTGTAGATCTTTGCAGGAACAGAAAACCCCATCTTCTTCCAAAGAACAGCTGGTGGGGTTGAGCCAATGACCTTGTGATTCACAGCCCTTAGCTAATGGTTTGATATTAAAAGCTTTCAGGATTTAGAAATAAAGAAAATACCCCTAGTTTACAAGTATAATTTTCTAGTTGAAATTGCCTTTCAATTTTCCTTCTTACTATCTGATCTTATGGCACATCATTTATAATTAACGGCATTAAGATTTTCTAGTAGGATAAGTGTGCTCTTAATTGACAATTTGGGGATCAGCATATATTTTTCCAACAAAATGAGTAAAGTATAAAATAGCTGTTCAATTATGTCTTTCTTGCAGAAAGAACAACGTTTCCAGTCCCATTCCTCCCCCCCCCAAAAAAGGGGAGGGGGGAATTCTGTGTAAAATTTTCTTTAATATTTGAATTTATCCAAGATACACAGATACTCTGTAATCTCTGGTTAAGGTTTCTGTAGCCTTGATAATACCTTATGTGGTCCAATAAATGCACTGATTTTCCTTTTTTTTCATCTTCATAGAGTACTTTAAAATGATTGATAGAATTCTGACCAATCGTGATAAGAAATGTTCAAAATCAGTGAAAGAGGCTTTTGGTCATCTTGCAGAAATGGTGAAACATCCGGAATACTATATTAAACTTAAAGATGATTTCAAGTAAGTGGATTGACTTTAGTGTGTGACATTCTGTGTCATAGCTTGTTCCTTTCCTTTGCTTGAATCTGCACCATTATTACCACTTGCTTAGATTTACCTAAAAAGTAAACAAGAAGTTGGAGAGTTCAGTTCCTTTCAAATATTTGTTTATATTAGCAATTTCTGGATCATGTAATACGTGAAGCAGCCTGAGTGTCCAGTAGATTGGAATTAGGTCACATTCCTATTCCTGAGGAAGCTTCTTTTCAATTGATTGGCTGCTCATAGCAGACCTCATCACGAGAATGACTACATTTTAACTATAAACCACTCAGACTCCTGCCCCAGTCAAGTGGACACAAAACCTTACCTGTCTTACTGACTAAAGTGAATTTCTTCAGCTTGAACAAACACTTGCTTCATCTGACTTGGGTTTTGGAATAAAGCAACATGTTTGATTTTTAAAATACAGCTAACACACCATTTTCCAACTCAAAAAGTAATTTTTAATTGTTTTCAAACTGAATCCAAAGAATGCATTTTATCAGAAATGTTGTTGTTGTTTTTAAGTGCTGTTGAGTTGGTTCTGACTCACGACCCTGTGTAGGGTTTCCAAGGAGCAGCTGGTAGATTTGAACCACCAACCTCATGCCTCATATTGACCTTGTGGTCCAGCGTATTACCCTGCAGTGCCACACCCGATGAGTCAGTGTCTCTAAAGCGAATTTTACAGACAGTTTTCAATAATACATAGTGTATGGCCATGGCAGCATGTCTGAGATGAGGAGATCTTCACTTAGGGCAGTTCTCTGAAGGACGCCAGGCCTACTTGGTGTGTTTACATTGAAAGTATATGATTTATGTTTATACCACTTGCATTTAATTTGATAGCTCATGCTTTTCCATCCACCTACTTATCTGTGAGTATCTTTGGAAGTGCTGCTTGGTTTGTAAAAGTAGGACACTGTGTCGATATTCTACTTTCTTTGGTTCTTTAATTTTTAGTTTTAGTTCTTTAGTTTCTCTTTCTCTTTAAATATCAAGTTCTCTAGATAGTTCACAATCTGACAAGTAAAGGATACTCAATACAATATCCCTAGTTTGGTTAAAAACATGGAGAAGTAGTACTTGGCACTTGTCTGAAAGTTATGTTATCATGTAAAAGTTAAACTTTGACAACCCACACTCAAGACACTTCTCTAGAATTGAATTAGTGGAAGGGCGCTTAGGGATGAACCTAGTTGTGACTCATTCATTTTATAAACTTCAAAGATTAATACCGAGAAGTGTATTTGAATTTTTTTAAATCACAAAGAAATTTCCAGTATTCTGAACTTTTCACACTTCAATCCTTAAACAAAAGAATCCTCCATTATAAACCGCCCTGATACTATCTGTGTCTCCAAAACACGCATCATTGGAAAAGTTTGACATTGTGTATCCATGAAGACTTCTGCATTTGTTTAGGTCGTGTCTTTTTGATTCATCATTGTTTACAGAAATTGACTTATCTTTCAACTCTACTGATCTCTGTATGATAAGCACTGGACTATGAACGACAAGGTCAGTGGTTTGAGCCTGCCTGATGTTCCGTGGGAGAGAGATGAGGCTTTCTGCCCAGAAAAGATGTAAAGCCTTGGAAACGCCATAAAGGGTTGCTATGAGTCAGAAGTGACTCAACAGCACTTAACAACAACAATTGATTCTATGGGATCATCCAAGCATTTCCAGTGTGTGTGTGTTTGTGTGTGTGACTTTTTGCTTCTGATATCATCTATTTTAAAAGATAAGATAAAGTTGCCTTTAATACACTATATTGAAAAAGAAGTCTAGATAAGGAAGTAATTCAAATTGGTTTTTCTCAGTTCAACCCATGGCTGAGAATCTGCATTTCCCCCACAGATGTTCTGAGTTAGCATCTATGTTTAACAAGATTCCCAAGCAATTGTTATTTACGTGTAAAATATTTTGAGGAACACTACACTACTGTTGTTGTTAAATGTCATCAAGTTGATTCAGACTTATTGCCACCCTGGGTAGGGTTTCTGAGGAGCAGCTGTGGGTTTGAACATGGTCAGACTGGTCTGTAGTCCAGTGCTTATCGTACAATGCCTCACCAGGACTGATGCTAAACCTTGTAATAGGAAACATGTTCTGCCATAGGAAACATGTTCTCTCTTATAACCCTCAACATACTTCTTGTTGTTAAGTGCCATTGAGTCGGTTCTGACCCATAGTTACTTTGTATAGAGTTTCCAAGGAGTGGCTGGTGAGCCTGAATTGCTGACCTTATGGTCTAGCGCATTATGCAGTCTAGCGCATTAACCCATAGAAGCAGACCAGGGTTGTTAAAGGCCATCTTTTCCAGTTGACTGTGTACTCCAAGAGAATAGGGACTCCATCTATCTTAGATGCCAGTACCTCTCTAGCTCATAGCATGCGCATGGTCAGGCCTCTGGGTTGCAAGCAACAGAAATAAAACTTACTCTACCTTATGTAAGAAAGAGGAGTAAGTGACTCATGTAGTTAAAGCCCAGAGACACAGATCAGTTATTTTGACATACTTGGATCCCTAAACTCATACTATTTTTTCAGAAAGACTTTTTATTTGTTGCTTTTAATTTGAGCTACGTTCTGCTCATGTGGTAGCCAAAAAGGTAGTGATTGCTAGAGGTTTATCTGTTCCTTGGTACCTCCAGCGTTAGAAAAAGATTATTTCAGCAAATATCCCAAGTATGGTTTTCACTGATCAACTTGAGTCATCCATGAGTCCACAAGCATAGATTAGGAGTATGGTTTCCTGACTGGCCTAGACAGGTCAGGAGACCATCCAGAAACTAAGAGTAGAGATCAGCCCCTCCTACATCAAATGAGGTAAGAGTAGAATGAGAGTGGTTTCCAAAGGTAGAAAAGGGGTTCCTTACCAGAACAGAAGGAATATTTCCGGGACAAGTTGCTGTTATTGTTGTGAGTTGCCATTGACTTTATTGCAACTCAAAGCAACCTTGTACACAACAGAATGAAACACCGCCTAGTCCTCCACCAGCCTCACAATCATTGTTAAGCTTGAGCTTATGGCTGCTTCTGCCAATGTGCCAATACATCAAGTTGGAGGTCTTCCTCTTTTTCACTGGCTTTCTACTTTACCTAGCATGGTATCCATCTCTGGCAACTGGTTTCTCTTGACAATATATCTGAATGTCTGAAGTGCAAGAGATGACGCCTCTCCATTCTGGCTCCCAAGGGGCATTCTGGCTGTACAGTTTCCAACACAGATTGGTTTGTTCTTGTAGTCGTCCACTGTATCTTAATATTTGTCTCCAACCTCCTAACTAAAATTGATCAATTCTTCTCTAGTCTTCCCTACTCACTGTTCAACTTTCACATGCATATGTGGCTATTGAAAATACCCTGGCTTAGCTCAGTGCATTTCACTGCTAGGTAAGTAGAAGCATTTCATAGCTATAAAAATATTTACAGTGAATAATTCTAGAGTAGTTGATGTGAGTTTACTTTATTCAGTCCTTCAACACCAGTTGTACATTTTAGTGGAAATGTAAAATTAGTAAATTTCATAAAGTACAAATAACTGGAGTTATAACAACATATTGGCAATATTATGGCTCTTACTATGAACAGCTTTATCACTATTGCTAAAATGACTACTAAGAACTTTGAAATCTAGATCCTCATTCATATAAGATATTAAGGGATTTTTCTGATTATTTATTCAAAGTGGATATGAAAAGCTGTCTCTCATCTCTCAGGATAACTCAGTACAGGGCTTTATTAGTCTTATAATTTGTTTCTGATTCCTAGATCTATTGTTCTAATTCTATCAAAATTATCTGCTATAACCATTTATGCTCTTGGGTAAATTTACCAAACATCTTTTAATTTTGGTTTCTCCTTTGCTTGTTTGCATGGTCCATTTACCTTCTTCCTACACCTTCTCTGTGTGCATTTTGTTCCTAAAGGACAGTTTTCCACGACCATCACCATACTACTAGCAGTTTTCAATTGCTTTTTTATTGTCATTCAGTTTTTGGAGATGACATTTCTCCAAAGAGATTTTGATCCAGAGAGATTTTGCCATTTGATTAAACTGCTATGGTACTATAGGTTGAACACTGTTCTGCCAACTGAAAGGTCAGTGGTTCAAAGTCACCAGCTGATACTTGGAAACCCTATACAGGCTTGTTTTAAGTCAGAATCATTGCCATTTAGCTTTAATTTTCTTATTAAATTTTACTATTTTCATTTTCATTACCCATAGTTTTCTTTATTCTAAATTCTATGCTAAGAATTTAATGTTTTCCACTGAGCTTAAACTTATTTCAAGGAATTTTTGAACTCAGAGTTCATAAACTAGATTCCCCAAATCCTGAAATTATGGAAACTTCCATGTAAGTATGCACAGATGCATTTTCTATGGGAGATGGTGACAATTCTAATTAGAGTTCAGGTTTATGACACATGAATATTGTAGAGCAGTCATTTGGTCATATCCTTGGTGTCATACTGTTAAGTGCTATGGAATTGGTTCTGACTCATAGCAACTCTGCATAGGGTTTCCAAGGAGCATTTGGTGGTTTTGAAACACTGACCTTTTGGTTAGCAGTCTGCTGCTTATTCTGATCACTATACCAGAATCTGATCATTTGTGAACTATTCTTTGGCTTGTCCAACTGAGGGTGATGATTAGGGCTTGTTTTCACCCATTATTACGTCTTGTCTTTTTGCCCAATTCTGTGTGTACATTGGAGAGAATTTCAGAAGATGGGAGCCCCAGACTTCCATCAAATTAATCATCTCCTCACATATAGTTAGACAAGTATGCTAATGAAGTGGGGCAAATGTAAGAGAGTACAAAAAAAGAGTTAAAAAGTCTTCTGCAATCTTTAATTTTTCAGAGGTAACCATTGTTCCCAATGGTATCAAGGCTTTTTGTGTTCAATGAGTTGTTTTAAATGAAATAATTTGATAAGAGTAGGACTACACAAATTCTGGATAGGCATACTTTGAAAACTTAAAAGTAGGGACCATGATTCATTTCTTTTTTTTGCAGAATAGACCTTATGAAGAAATGGCATATTCATTCATTCATTTTGTACTGGTTTCCTACTTTGGGGTTCTGAAGCTTAAGTGAAATGAAACTTCACTTTTGTTTTCTTTCCCACAGCTTATGTAATGTTTTTGGTAATGACTCATCAATGGACACTGCCTATTTTATGAAGAATTTGCTGTCACTGCTTTACATCATTGTTCAGAAAAATGTGATGAACATTGCGGTAAGAAAGGAAAAAAAGGCAGGAAAAAGCGGTGAAGAAAAAAAATGCTCAAGTAGGCATTAGCTAATTGTCTAGATATCATGTAGAGAAAAATAAACGTGGATTGATTGTTAGAAATTAAAACAATATGAGTATGTACAAGCATCCAAGATGAAAAGAACTAATTAATGAAACACATCAACAACTGAAATATCAAAAAAAATCCACCATCTTTTATGCATCTTTTACTCTGAATATAATATTAAGATATTTAAAAATAATAGAATTATGGATTTACTATAGAAATATGGATTTACTATAGAACAGAATTAACCTATTTTAATATAATCTTTTGTTTCAATAATTTTAGAAAGCTGTTTCATTAAACATGAATAACCAAAATCTCACTTATTTCATAGGATCAGTTATAAACAAATAGGAAAGACTGAGTTAAATCTTCTTTTGTCTGATTTGAATAACTCTCAAATGTAGAGAATTTAAAAAATAGTTTGTATAAAGAGATAACATTATTTCACTTATTGAGTGTCTAGGTTATGGAAACAGCAAGGTGTTAAAATGGAATACTTGTAAATTTTGATTTCTCTAAAAAACACAACAAATTTGAGTTTTTGTTAGTGAAATAAAGCATTTGGGATTTTTCACATTCTTTTTTTTTTAAATTGCTTGTTATGAATTGAGTGAAAGTTTATAGAACAGATCATCAGTTTACATTTAACAAATGCTATATGTCTTGGTGTGTAGTATAGTGGTTACGAATCGGGCTGTGAACCTCAGGGTCAGCAGTTCGAAATTACCAGCTGTTCCATGGAAGAAAGATGAGGCTTTCTGCTCCCATAACGATTTGCAGCCTCGGAAACCCTGTACAAGGTCACTATGAGTCGGAATCAACTCCAAGGCACATAATAACAATATAATAATACGTCTTGGTGTGAAGTCATAGGATGAGCACTAGACCTCAAGGTCTGAACCACAGGGTCAGTTGTGCAAACTCACCAGCTGTTCCTCTGAAACCCTATATACATTTTGGTATATATATTGTTGGCTATGAGTTGGAAATGATTCAAAGGCACTTAACAATAACAACAGTAGACTTCCTTTCATCTCAATGATTAGAATCCTCTCGATGTGGCATCACATAACCACTTCCTCGCTGATTTTATTGCCAGTTCTGCTTTTATTCTCACCCTGATGAATTTTGGTCAAAGGATGCCCTTTCGATTTTGAATGATGAACCACTCTATGCGTGCAGACCTTTCCAGTGTTATTACCCCCACTATATGCCTATCTTGGAGTCCTGGTGTGGCGCTATAGGATAATCACTGGACTGCAAGGTCGGTTTGAATCGCAAGGTAGGCAGTTCAAACTCACCAGTTGTTCCTCAGAAACTATATACAGGATCACCTACTTATTGGCATTTAGCAAAATGACAACATTTGCATATCTATTGCTTGGCTAAAAATTGAAAGCCTATAGCAAATATTGTCTATAACAAAATTGTTTTATTAATTTTAAGCAGCATTGTTTTAATAATGATCTTATTTTTTCTTGTATTGTTTTTATTGTGGCAAGAGTATGATTGTGGAGCTGATTGTATGCTGCTGAATCAGTTCTGATTCATAGCAACCCTACATAGGATTGTCAAGGCGGTAAGTCTTCATGGAAACAGAAAGCCTCATCTTTCTCCCATGGAGCAACTGGTGGACTTGAACTGCTGACCCTGTGGTTAGCAGCCCAGTGTGTTACCCACTACACTACTAGGGATCCTTGTGGTAAGTATATAGATAACAAAATATTTGCCATTTCTAGAGTCTTAAAATGTATGAAAGGGTTTCAAAAAGTTCATGAGAAAATTCCTTTCTCTTTAGAATTCATTTTTTCCATGAACTTTTTGAAGCCCCATGCTAAAGTTTAGTAACATGAATAATGTTCATAATGTTGTTCAACCATCACCCTATTAGTCTCATTTAGTCAAGAGAAGTATCCAATAGAAAAACAGTACAAATGACTATTAATTGTAGTACATGGCTAGAATAAGAGTTATGAAACTCTTTAACTTTGAAGAGATAGATGATGTTAAACAACAGAAGCTTAGTGTCTTACAGGCTAGAAGTCTTAGTTCTCAGTGTCAGCAGGGTCATATTTTCTCCAGGGGCTCTGGGGTGATTGATCCTTTCCTCTCTCACTCAATTTTATGGTGGTGACTGTGTGCCTTCGACTTCTAACTTATAGCAATCCTGTACAAGCTTTCCAAGGCTGTACTCCTTTACAGTAGTGGAAAGTCTCATCTTTATCCCAAGGAGGGGCTGATGAATTTGAACTCATAGATTTTACCTGCTACTTGCAGTTAGCAGCCCAACCCACAACCCACTACACTATTAGGCATTTCCTGGCTTATACCTGCCTCAAAACTCCATCAATGTATGGCTGTTTTACCTTCATCTGATTCCGTGTCTCTTTTTTTCTTTTCTAAAATACTACTCTTACTGGATTAGAATTTCCCACTCAGCTAAAACATCACATTAATCGATGACATCAAGGACCTATTTCCAAACAAGGCAGCAAGCATAACCATCAGAGGTTAGGACTGAAATATAAATTTGGGACTACACAATCCAATCCATAACAGGCATTCAATAAAATAATCTATGTGGAGTGTCTAGGAGTCTAAGACTAGTGCTGGGTTCAGAATAGTGTGAAAGTTGGAGTCATTCTGAAAGGAGCTGCACCTAATTCATGACAACACATGCTAGGAATAACAAAGCCCACCAGGAAGCTGAGCTTCCAATGCCCTGTGTCCTGTTCACCATTTTGAAGGCTCTGAACCTTTTTAAAATCTCTTTAAGGATATTGTTACAGAGATCCTTCTCATAGCAAAACTATCTAGGGTTCCTGAGAAGCAGCTGGTGTGTTTGAACCTTCATGAAGCACTTCAAACTGATCCTGTTTTCCTGTGCTTTATTTATCCTGCAGTGGCACCCAAGACTCTCTTTAAGGGTGTTGTTGTCGTTGTTGACTGCTGTCAAGTCAGTTCTGACTCATAGGGATGCTGTCTAAGGTTTCTGAGGAACAGCTGGTGGGTTTGAACCTCTGATCTTGCAGTTCCAACTGACCTTCCAGTTCAGCGCTTTATCCAACATCGTCACACCAGGATTGAAGGCACACATTACAGCAGAATTAAATGAGTTCTTTGAGGTACAGACATTTCTCTGTGATTTAACCTATAAAACTTAATTTTGAGCTCAATTTCTCACTGAAAGGACTCAGGGAATTTGCTTACTTTTTACCTTCTATTCCTTGTCTGCAATTTGACTGGCTGCAATTCTTAGCAAAGATGACAATGAGTCCAGGATTTAGAAGCCAAATATTATATGTTTGGATTATTAGCATGGCACTATAAAATAAGTTGTAGACCACAAGGTCAGTTTGAATTGCAAGGTAGGCAGTTAAAATCCACCAATTGCTCTTTGGAAACCCTATAAAGGGTCACTGGGAGTCAGAACTGACTCATTGGCAATAATATAATATAGCAGCATATGACTAACCTCCAATGATTTGAAAAAGAGTCTAGATGTCACTTTTGAAACTATTAGCTTTGCTGCCAGAAGGTAGAGTTCATCTTACATGATCTTTTGCAAAATCAATGAGACCCTGGTAGCATAATAGATTATGAGTTGAGGGGCTAACTGTAAAGTCAGTTGTTCAAATTGCCCAACTACCAGTTGTCCCCCAGGAGAAAAAGGGGGATTTCTGTTCCTGTAGTTTTATAGCCTTGGACATCCCATACAGGGTCACTATAAGTCACAACGAATCCATTGGCACACAACCACCATCACCACCTTATCAGAATGAGTTGCCTAGAAATGAACATCCAAGGACTTAACCTGTTTCCTCTTGTTAATGAAAAGTAATGATAATAATGACATAATGATTTTAATAACAACTGCCTGAGACCAAAGGGGTCCTGGTGTGGCATTATAAGATAAGCACTTGACTGCTAACCTCAAATTCAGCATTTTAAACTCAACTGGGAAGCCCTATTTATGGTGACAATGAGTTGGAACCATCTCCAAAGCACTTAACAACAACAATGTCTGAGGTCCCAAGAACTCATAGTAAGTATTTAATATTTTTTCTCCTAGAAGTGTTCACAGTATCTTCATTTTAACTCCTGTTTTACAAATGAGAAGCTCAAATGCTAAGGCTTTAAATCCTGTTAGCAAACGTTCATTACAGTTGGCCCCTCTGCTAATAATTTACAACTCCACTATAGATATGTTGTTGTTGTTATGTGCCATCGAGTCGGTTCCGACCCATAGCGACCCTGTATAGATATAATGAATCATAATTTATATTTTAACAAATTTTATCTGTAAAGAGGTGGTCTATAAGAATGCTTTGGGGGCTATTGTTAAAATATGAGATTCTGATGCATTGTATCTGTTGTGGAAATGCAAATTCTCAATAGAGGGGTCAAACTGGAAGGAGTCCCTTTCAAGCCCTTCTTTCTAATTCACAATACTACCAATGGGCTATGTCAGATTTTAACTCGAATTTCTCTGAATAAAACCCTTGTGTTAAAGATTATGGTAATCATAGAACATTGTCTGATTTTTTAAAAAAAAGACTCCAAGCTAAGCAAACGATTTCATCCTCACTTGTTTTTTGTTTGTTTATTTATTTTTGTTTCCTCCCTTCATTCTTTCCATCATGCCTTGTTCTTAGGTATTGTGGAGTTGGCTCTGACTCATAATGACCCTATGTACAACAGAACAAAACACTGCCTGGTCCTGGGCCAACCTCACAATTGCTGTTATTTTGAGACCATTGCTTCTGCCACTGTGCCTTTCCAGCTAGCTGGGGGTTTACTTCTTTATTGCTCACCCTCCACTTTAGGAAGCATTATGTCCTACTCCGGGGACTGTTCCTTTCTGATAATATGTCCAAAGTATGAGAGATGGAGTCTTGTCATCTTGCCTTCTAAGGAGCATTGCATGTTACATGATTTTTTTCCTCTAAATTAAATGCTCATGTTACCATGGGAAAATACAACATTTACTGAGTGCCAACTCTACAGAACAAGTGAACTCACTTTAGCTCATTTCTCTCATAATCAGTCTTATATTGGTGGTGGTGGTAGTGCTGCTGTGGTCAGCCATCAAGTAAGTTCCAACTCATATTAACACTTTATAAGGTTTTTGAGTCTGTAAAGGTTTACGGGAAGATAGCCTCATCTCTCTCGCTCAGAATGGCTGGTATATTTGGATTACTGACCTTGTAGTTTGCAGTCCAACCTGTAACCCACTACATTAGCAGGACTCTTTAACTAAGTGGTATTTTTTATCTCCACGTGTAGAGATGTAGAAACTGATGCTCACAGGGCTCAAGTAACTGCCCTGCATCCACACAGCCACCATGAGGCCGAGCCAAGATGTGTAGATGAGGGCACATTGGTGTCTCCCTGGAAGAACCATTAAGGAAGCCTGTGAGCTCATTAAATTTCAAATATTAATCTTCACAAGTTAGATTCTTTTTTTCAGAACCTATTGGCTTGGTGATTTTAATAACTCATTCTCAAGAATTTCTTAAGGTACACTTTTGAGTTAGGAAGTACTAGTTGTTGTTGTTGTTGTTAAGTGCCATCTAGTTGGTCCTGACTCATAGGAACCCTGTATAGGATTTCCAGGGAGCAGCTGGTAGGTTTGAACTGCCGTCCCTGTGGTTTGCTGTCCAGTGCTGATCCTACAGTGTAACAGCAGGAGATTAATTAAGAGTAGACTTTTCTCTCTGATGCATTTTTTTAAATCTTCAAGATAATTGTTATTTATAAAAGGATTTATTCCATTTACTTCATGACTGACATATCAAAACATTCTTAGCAACATATGAATTGGTAACTGCAAATAAAATCTTTATAACAGAATTATGGAAACATCTAGCTTTTTTTCTGATGATAGATCAGAGTTAGATGTGGAGTTTTATGTGCCTTGGAGTCCTGATGTGATGCTGTGGAATAAAGCACTGGATCACAATGTTGTTTTAACCACAAGGTCGGTGGTTCAAACTCATCAGCTGCTCCTTGGAGACCCTATACATTGCCACTATGAGTCGGAACTGACTTGATGATACTTAACAACAATGATGTGCCTTGGAGTCCTGGTGTGGCGCTGCACGATAATGCACTGGACCATAAATCAGTTTCCACCTCAAGGTCAGTTGTTCGATTTCACCAGCCGCTCCCTGAAAACCCTATACAGGGTTGCAATGAGTCATAATTCAACTGCAATTAGCAACAGCAACAATGTATCTTAACTTAGTTATGATGTGGCACTGTAGAGTAAGCACTGGTCTGCTAATCAAAATATTGGTGGTTTGAACCCACCAGCTACTCTTTGGAAACCCTATACAGGGTCTCTGTGAGTCAGAATTCAATCAATGGTACTTAACAAAAAAACAACAGTATACAATTCTAGTATGAAAATTGGTATACGGTCTTTAAAGAGCCGGTAGAAATGAGGAATATGTGTTAATTTCTAGATCTCTAATGCAAAACCCTGCATACAGGTAACTGCTAATTGTGAGTTTTTGAAGACTTTTTCCTCACTAAGGCAAATAACAGAACTCTACACCATGTAATACTAGTGTTTCAGCGGTATCCAATCAAACGCAAACCTCAGAAACGTCAATGTCCACGTCTCTTGAATAAATGAGAAACATACTAGGGTGATGGTTGAATGACACGATGAACATTATTAATGTTACTAACCTGTAGAAGAGAACTTCAAATATTTCATGGAAAAATGAAATTTAAGGAAAATGGAAATTTTCCACTAATGTTTTTGAAGTCCCCACGTCCATTTGAAGATTGTAGAAATGGCCAGTGTTCTATGACTATACACTTACTTAAACAAACGTGATGCAAGAACAAATATTATAATTGCTCAAATAATAATGGTGATTTCTAAAGAAAGATTTATGTTCTGGGCATTATCCTAAGGCTTGCTTTCATTTAATCCTCATAGTATCCTTAGGAGTATGGTACTTGCTTTGTTCTTTAAGTGTGGTCAAGCTGGTGGGTTTGAACCGCCAACCATGCAGTGAAGAATTCAGTGCTTTTAAACTTATTTGTATCATTGTCCCCACTGAGCAGGTGACCAAACTGAGGCCAGGTAGCTTCTGTGACAAATTAAGGCCATGCATCCAGGCCTGATTGATATTTCTCTTAGACATTGCATATCCCTTTCACTATTTAATTAGATATATGACTCCTCTTGTCTAAAATTCACAATTAAAAAAATATATCTTTAGATATATTTTTTTAATTGTGGATTTTAGACAAGAGGAGTCATATAGCTAATTAAACAGTAAAGTGTTGTGAGAATATAAAGAACATGTTGTTGTTATGTGCCGTGGAGTCGATTCCGACTCATACTGACCCTGTACAGGGTTTCCGAGGCTGTAAATCTTTATGGGAACAGAAAGCCTCATCTTTCTCCCATGGAACAGCTGGTAGTTTCAAACTGCTGACCTTGAGGTTCGCAGCCTGACTCATAACCACTACGCTACCAGAGCTCCTTATAAAGAACATAATATGTGCCAATTTAACATTATTCCAATGTACATTTCAATAAAATCAATTACATTTATCGTACTGTGCAATTATCACCTGTATCCTTTGCTAAATTTCCCATCACCAAAACCAATAATTCTATGCTACCTAAATAATAATTCTCCCCTTCCTCTGTCCCTTCTCCCTTTATAAACACTACTACACTCTTATGTCTATGCTTTTGTCTCTCCTTGATGTTTCATATTATTGACATCATACAAATGTTATTGCTATAGTTAGTACTGTCGAGTAGGTTCCGACTCATAGCTACCCTGTATAGAGTTTCCAAGGAGCAGCTGGGTTTAAACTGATAAGCTTGTGATTAGCAATCCAGTGCTTATCCAATAGGACCACACCAGAACGATCATATTTCTATTTATTGAAATATCACGCACTCCTGTGTTGTTGTTATAGGTTCCATTGAGTCAGTCTGATCCACAGCGATGTTAGGTACAACAGAACAAACTATTGCCCAGGCTGGCCCATCCTCACAATTCTTATATGTGAGCCCATTGCTGCTGCCACTGACAAAGTCTGTCTCGTTGGGGGTGTTTCTCTTCTTGGCTGACCCTCCACTTTACCAAGCATTATGTTCTTCTACGAGGACTGGTCTCTCCTCATAACATGTTCAAATTGCACCATCTCCCAGGCTTTTTCTCCTAATTCTAACCCTCATTGAGTTCTCTCAGAATCCCTTAGAGTAAGAGTAAGGCATTACATTTCATATTGTATTCATCTTACTGGATCGTTCAGAAAGGATTGTTCTCATCTTTTGCATCTCCTAAGAGTTCTAGCACTACTCTGGCAAAAGAGCGGATGCTCAGTTAAAGCCTCCTTATGATATGAAACCCTTTCAAACCAAATGCTGACCTGAGAGTCAAAAGCCCTTGTTACAAGTGCCTTCATGAGCTATGTGTCTTGTATAAGGGATGTCAACTCACTTTTAGTAGTCTCTGCAAACCACTCAGATGAATTGGTGGTTTTCAAGTATCAATCTACAGCCAAGTCAACAGGAAACAGTTGTTTCTTATTTGACTTAAAATCAATCACTTGACTCATCTAAAGTAATTTTTGGAGCTGAATTCTGTTTGAAGTCGAATGTCGTCCCATCTGCATTCTTTTGAGTATAATTGGAATCTCGGTCTTTGCAGGCGCTGCAGAATCGCTTCCCCATTGATTACTTCTGTGCCATAATGGCTAACACCTCACTGGGGTCACCATATTATAGATTTGCGCATTTTGAAAATAATTTGCTCAAGATTAAAAATCAGAGTTGCTTTGTTTCAAATTACAAGGACTACCTGGCAGCCATGAGTAACCCTTCCATGGATAGGAGAAAACTTAAAAAAGGTAAAGTGGTATGAATGGAGATTACCTTTGCGATAGAGACGTGTGAGCACCAACACGGTGCATTGAAAATTCTACAAATTGTGAGTCTGCATTAAGCTTTGTGAGAAAACACCAAAGAATCAGAGCTAATGTTTTTTTTATTCAAGGAGGGAATGAGAAAGTGAATGAGTGATTTAAGCCTATTAAATCATTTTAATAAGAGGGCAGAAATGCCAATTTCTTAGCATTGGGGGAGGCAGAATAAAGAAAAGGGCTTCTTAGTCCCATTCAGCGTAATCAAGAATCAATAATGCTAAGAAACTATCTCACTCCATATAGAGCAGTACTCAGTCCTAGTCTCATTATAGAATGACTTTACTTGGTTGATGTTGTTGTTGTTAAGTTCCATTGAGTCAGTTCTGACCCATAGCGACCCTGTACAGGGTTTCCGAGGGTGTAAATCTTTACGGGAGTAGAAAGCCTCATCTTTCTCCCTCGGAGAGGCTGGCAGTTTTGAACCACTGACCTTAAGGTTCTCAGCCCGATTCGTAACCACTATGCTACCAGAGCTCCATTTGGTAGTAGAGTCGATAAAAACTCATGGTGACCACATGTGGTATAGAACAAAACTGCGCCACAGAGTTTTATTAATTATAGACTTTACCAAAGCAAAGAGCTGAGTCTGTCTTCTGCAGCAATGCAAGGTGGGTTCAAATTACCAATAGTTGAGAAAAAACTATTTGCAATATTGATATACCTTCTCTCTTCCACTAACGTGTCTGAAATGAAATAAAACCACAATGTCAAGATATTTAAAGTATGAATAGTTGTTACAGGCATTAGCTAAATTATTAAAATATGTATGAATGTGTAATATAGCTGTAAGACATTTGATGAGCTGATATTTGAAATTATTATCCACAGTTTGATGCACAATTTACTAATTCTATCAATATTGGTGATCTGAGAGAGATCATTCAGATGGTGATTGAGAATATGGAGATGGTGAGGGACAAGGGCTTCAAGTGTGCATTGTTGCTTTAAGAAGTGTGCAAATAAAGTTCTGGGAGGCCTTGAGGAGAAGTTAAGCAGAGAGAGATACAGAGAGAATGCAGCATGTTACCCACAGAAACTAGAAATAGAGGGCAGAGAGTTGGACAGACCCAAGGTGCTTACAGAGATAGTCTTGTTGGGCACAAGAAAGTGTTACTTCATAGACATCTGTGCTCCTTACCAGAAACATCTTTGGACATAGTTGCAATGGCTGGTGTGGTAATGTTGGAAATGACTGTAAATATAATTTATAATGAGGAGATTAAATTCAGTTTAGAAAGCCATCAGCATATGAATTTACAGTTTTTTTTTTAAGTTTTTTTTTTTTTGTTTAATTTGGTCATCAATAAAATATAATTTTTTGCTAAGTTGATCGATGTTTTCATTTCTAGATAGGCAATGGTTATATCAGAGCTGCACTGAATTTGGCTTCTTTCAGACCACAGATTCCAAGAATCACCCCTTCTCTGGTGTGCCTCTCAGGTAAAGGATCTTCCTTCACTTTTGGTTGTCATTGTGGTTGTTGTTGTTATGTGCCATCGAGTCAGTACTGACTTATAGCAAACTTATGCACAACAAAATGAAACACTGCCCAGTCCTCCACCACTAAAAGCCATTATTTCAGGGGGGGAGGTGTTTACCATTTTTTCCTATTTTAAGAGAAGATTAAATGGAGCAGATTGGCCAATCCCAAACTGGTTGGGGATTGGAGTTCAGATTAAGGCAGAAATCTGAAATCTTGCAGGTGGACTTTTGAGAAATAAAAGAGATTCCAAAAAAATATGTAGAACCAAGTTTCAGATTTCAGCATTTATCTTAATTACGTGCTGCCAAAAACATACTGTAGGTTTTAGAGGATGAATGAGAATCAATACACTAGTAGTCTGTCTTATTGTTTGGCATTTTAGACTTATTTTATTTAACATGCTTTTACCACGAAGAAACTTGGTGTGCCTCCTGCTAAATCCAAAGGAACATGGGTGACAGAAGAGCTACAAATAAAGGCCAGTTGTCTGTCTTCTTTGAAGATTAGGCTAGCCACAATTTGCTGGTTGTATGAAGCAGGCCAGTCAACCCTTAGTTAACTTTATTCTCATTGGTCTATGATTCTTTGTTCATTTTATTTGGTAACTGGAGTAAAACATGGCTCCTGAATTGTTCACCAGAAACAGAAGTTAATAAATATGAAGAATTTTAAAGGCAATGTCATAATTAAAATAATGATGAGGGGATTCTTTATATGTATGTGCGCTGAGATATTATACATACACATTCAGATATTATGTAAGAAATATCTTAGAGAGTATAATTATGAAAAAAATATAAACTTGGAGGGGGAAAAAAGCATATGAATTTGGAACCTATAATTTCTCCTTTCAAAGTCCCAAACCTTCAAATCCCCTAATAAGGAATGGAGCGATGACTTAGTCAAAGTCAAGTATATGAACTGGACCACACTTGTCTGCGGTACCTCTGGTTAAGGCCCCTGTATTGGACCAACCCACTACTCTACCTCACTTCTTTTCATGCCTGTTTCATCAGTGTGGAGAGAAGATTTATCCACCTTTTTCAACCCTTTCTTTCCTTACAATCTTTTTACTCCTAAGACACAGGAATGGGAATCTTACTTCTTCCTTCACTCCCTGCTGAAGTCTTTCTTTGTGATTGCAGACATGTTAGTATACTAACAGGAACTGGGGAGCTTGGAGGATCCCTGGAGTCTATCTCTTGGCTTTGGAGGCAGTGTCTGCTCTCACAGCCTCTGCTTCCCTCCTACTTAACAGGAGGGCAGGGTCCACATGGAGCTTTCTTCCTCCCACAATGGTTACAATCCATGTAATTGTGGGCTTAGTGGGATAACGAAGAAGAGGCTTTTCCAATTTTCTCCTTCTGAAGTTCTTGTTGGCACCAGAAAACGGAAGCCTGTTATGTCTTTGGCATTCTCATTAGGTCGGGCACAGTAAAGAAAGACATGTACTTTGCTGGTCACATTCCAGTGTGCTTACGTACTAGAGAACTTTATTTGAAGAGTGGCTGGGCTAGATAGATAGATAGAGAGATAGATAGATAATTTCCTCCTTTGAATAAAGTCTTTTAGCTATTTTAGCTATTTTGAGTAACTCAACATTTCTGGGGAAAACAAAACAACTAAAAAATCCAAAACAAACATAAAAACAACACTTTCTGCAAATGTCTTTCTTACCTTTGTCAACCCTGCTCACTAGCGCCTACAATGTTTCTCATTTTCTATGAAGGTATTTTTTAAAGCTATGTTCAGATGCCTTTGGCCTTAAGTTCAGCACCGATTCAGTGTCTCGGGCCATTAGGACCACCAACAGGCATTACGGAGGCTTGAAGGTGAATGGAAGCAAAATCATATTTCCCAACGGTTCCAGCGATCCTTGGCATGTTCTGGGAGTCACCAAGAATATACGGGAAGATTTGCCTGCTGTCTTCATGAAAGGTAACACAGTTGTGAATAGTCAAAGACCCACAAATAAGATGATCTATCAGCGAGCAAAGGTGAATCATTGGTTCAATTCTGGCCTTCCTTGTGGGAGACCCAGGTTGTATTCTAGCTGATGCTTAGCGTTTATAGCCACTACCCACCTGTCACTGGAGGTTTCTTTTTGTCTTTGATGCTGAACTGGTTTTGGTGAAACTTCCAAGCTAAGATAAACTAGGAAGAAAGATCTAGAGATTTATGTCCAGAAATCAGCCAGTGAAAACCGTCAGGTTCTGAATGATGTGATCTGAAGCCTATCATGTATATAGCAAAGAACCAGAAAATGTTATATTATTGTTAATACGATTTCAAATGGCTAATTTTTACAAGTGGACTGCATCTTCTTTCTTCCTAGACTCTCTCAGTCTGGAAGCTCTGTTGAAACCTACTCACCAAATCCAAGAATGATTCCTGGTGGCAAACTGGACTAAGCACTTGTTTGCTAACCAAATTACCAGCAGTTCAAATCCACCAACATCTTGTCAGGAAAAAAACGAAACCGGCTGCTATCATAAAGATTTAAAACCTTGAAAATACTAGGCAGCACACTTCTATTCTGCCCTATGGAGTCACCGAGTCAGACTCAACTAGATGGTGGCGGGTGTTTCGTTTTGCCAAAATTTGAAATATCAGAGGAATAACTCCCAGTGTAAGAGCAACACACAAATGACCCCAGTAAAACTAATGGACACTGGAATGGTTGGTCATAACCTTAGGCAACCTTAAGATACAAAGAGACATACTTCCTTGATTCAGTGACCATTATGGCGGGGGTGTGCTGTGGAGTTGGTTCCGACTCATAGTGATAGTGACCCTGTGCAGGGTTTCCGAAGCTGTAAATCTTTACAGGAGCAGAAAGCCTCATCTTTCTCCCTTGGAACCGCTGGTAGTTTTGAACTGTTGACTTTGAAGTTAGCAGCCCCACTTGTAACCACTACACTACCAGAGCTCCTTAGTGACCAGTATATTGGCAAAGAATTCTTGTTTTCAGAAGCAGTGTTGCCTGAGATGGAGGCAGAGACGATGACGTGGAGAGATGGAGCAGCTGGAGACTTTAGACACAGAGGGAGAGGGGCTGTGTGCTGACAACCGGGGGGCAGGCTTATAGTGTATACCCTTTGGTTGGGTGATGATGCTTGGAGGGGATTGTAACCATGGCAATAAAATCAGAACCTCTGATGGATAGGACTCAGATCCTGGTTTGTTTGAACAAGCTTCCAGGGGGTTCCAATGTGCAGCCAGGGGTTAAGTTCAGATGGTTTATGCATATTTAATATGTGGGTATTAAGACATTTCTCGTTCTCTATTTAGGTGAAGACCACTGTGCAGATATGCAAGAACAAAGGCAAACTGATTCCATTCAACTAATTCGAGCTCGAGAAAAAATCTTCCAAACCCTAAAAAAATGGGTAGAGCAATAGATCACTCTGAAAGATGAGTGCAGCAAAACCCCAAACCTGTCTTCCCACTTTATTGCTCATATGGAAAACCTTTTGAAACATTGAAATTTGATCAGAAATAAAAGATTAATTCCTCCAGTTAAGATTTATGTTTGTTTTCTTATAATGGAAGTTCATCTTGTTTCTCTTTTCTTATTGGCCTTGAGAAACAGGACATTATTCCAGCACAAAAGAAAGTAATTACCCAACAGTCTAAGAAAGATTCCTGGTGGCAAATTGGATTAAGCATTGGTCTGCTAACCAAAAGTCTAATAGTTCAAATCACCCAGCTTCTTGACAGGAGAAAAATGAAGCAATCTGGACTCTAAAGATTTACAGCCTTGGAAATCCTAAGCAGCATGTCTACTCAACTAGATGGCAGTTGGGTTTGGGTTTGTTTGGTTTGGTTTGGGGTAGGATTTTTTTGGGAGGCGTTGTTATTTGGAGGACCAGGTGCAGCAAGACAGATGGTTGCCATGGAGACTTAGACTTCCTGGTGTGGCACTATAGGATCAGCAGTAAACTGCAAACCACAAGGTGAGCGGTTCAAACCGTCCAGCTGCTCTTAGGAAACCCTCTTCAAGGAGGGTATGAGTCTGAGCTGACTTAATGGCGCCTAAAAACAATAACAAGCAGAGACTTAAGCTGTACATCTTAGGTTTTAAAGAACAATCTGCGTTTCATGAACTTCCAAGTTTTTCAATATGGAAATTTAATGTGTTCTAACTAATTGGGTTTTGTTGTTAGGTGACTAAGAGTTGGTTCCTACTTGTAGCCACGCTATGCACACAGAACAAAACATACCCAGTACCGACGACCACGCCATCCTCATATTTGTTATGTCTGAGCCCACCGTTGCTGCCACTGTGTCAATTCATCTAGTTGAGGGTCTTCCTTTTTTTTTGCTGCCTCTTTGCTTTGTCAACTGACTTCAGCTGGTTTCTCTAGAAAAGCAAGACTAGTGAAGCTTATATATGTATATATGGTGTTTAAGTGCCATGGAGTCGATTCTATAAGGGTTTCCCAGGCTGTACATCCTTACAGGAGCAGAAAGCCTCATCTTTCTCCCACAGAACAGCTAGTAGTTTCAAACTGCTGACCTTCAGGTTAGCAGCCCGACTCATAACTGCTACACCACCAGAGCTCCTTATGTATGTTGTTGTTGTTGTTGTTGTTATGTGCCACGGAGTCAGTTCCAACTGAAAGCGACCCTGTACAGGGTTTCTGAGGTTGTAAATCTTTACGGGAGCAGAAAGCCTCATCTTTCTCCCATGTAACAGCTGGTAGTTTCGAACTGCTGACCATGAGATTAGCAGCCAGATTCGTAACCACTACACTACCAGAGCTCCTTATACATTTGTTGTTGTCAGGTGCCATTGAGTTGGAATGGACTCATAGCGACCCCATGCACAGCAGAACGAAACAATGTCCAATCCTGGGCCAACCTCACTATCGCTGCCACACTTGACGCCATCAATGATGCCACCTGGCTGATCCATCTCGTTGGGGGTCTTCCTCTTTTTCTCTGACCCTCCATCTTACCCAGCATGACATCCTTCTGCAGCGACCATTCCCTTCTGACAATATGTCCAAAGTATGAGAGACGAAGCTTAGCCATCTTGGCCTCCAAGGTGCACTCTGGCTGCACTTCTTCCAAAACAGATCTATTGGTTCTTTTGGCAGTCCATGGCACTTTTAGAGAGGATTATATCAAGGAAATGGGTCACACAGTTATAGAGGTAGGGGAGTCCCAAGTCCATTGGTCATCTGTCAGGCAGGAGGCTTCTGATTCCTGTAGCTACAGGGTTGATGAATCAAGATCAGAAGATCAAAGGGTGAGATGACCAGTTGTTGATACCACCCTTAATCAGAAGTTTAATAGAGCAGCTTACTGTCTCAAGTCCAAAGAACTGGAGGTCAGATGACAAGATAGATAAAGAATCCAGATCCAGTAGAAAGCTAGCAAGCTTTGCACAAGTGTTCAATATATTGGAAGCAGGCCTCACTCCACAGAAAAAGTCCTTTCAATTTATTGGCTGTTCGTAGCGCATCTCATTATATGGGATTACTCATCTTAGTGGCCAAACTACTGAGAATCCTGGCCCAGTGAAGACTTTAGCTCTTAGGGTCCATCCCTTCTCACCCTGGCACCTGGGCATACATTCATGAACTATATAAAAGCTTAAATAAAGAAAACTCTAGTCAGACTATCAACACTCATACAACCAGAAGTCAAGAAGTCAAACATTTTGCATTGGACGAATCTCCTTCACAAGTCCTCTTTAAAGTGTTCAAGACAAAAGAAGTCAGTTTGAAGACTTAAGGCAGCTAACACAAGACATGGTATTCTCAGTAATAGTAAGGAAGACCATAGAAGAGTTGATGCATTTGAGTTACGGTGTTGGAGAAGAATATTAAAAGTACCAAGGTCTGCAAGAAATACAAACAAATCTGGGTTGGAAGAAGGACAGCCAGAATGCTCCTTAGAAACCAGGATGGTGAGACTTTGTATCTCATACTTTGTGCGTGTTATCAGGAGGGAACAGTTCCTGGAGAAAGACATCATGCTTTGTAAAGTAGAGGGTCAGCAAAAAAAAGAAAGACTTCTAAAGGGATGGATTGGTCCCCTGTCATCAGCAGAATGTTCAAGCATAACAACAATGGTGAGCATGGTGCAGGACCATGCAGTGTTTTATTCCATTGTGCATAGGGTTACTATGAGTCAGAATGGACTCAATGGCACCTAACAACTACACCAACAATAAAATCCTACTTGCACAGAACATCATACAAATAACAAACATACAACAGAAAAGACATTACCTCATTTACATCTTACATTTTATAAGTGAACAAACCAAATATATTTGCTATATACATACAAGGGGAAAATACCCATTGAAGTCCTCTTTTATGCAACTGGTCACATTGCTCTAATTGGAATTTAGAACTACCTTCTTCGGTCAACCACTATTCCATATTTCCTTTTCCTTTGGGAATCACTTCTTTTGTTGCGGTTGTTTGTTAGGAGGTGTAACCAAACCATCATCCCTGTAGGGTCTGGGGCATTAAAATTTGGGGTACAGTATTTCTTCCATTTTCTTCTGGTGCTTTCTGCATCATTCAATATTTTTTCCATAGAACCCTTCAGTCTGTTAAGTCAAGATGGATTTTTCTCCAGTTCATGTGCTTCCCTTTTGATTTTCTAATTCTAGCTGTAGTCTTGTTTTGACTGACTTGTTTTGTTTTTCCTCATCACTTCCCACAGAAATAATCAATTTCATCCCTGTGTATTCCATCTGTTGAGGTCATAGATATAATTGCCTTATGTGTTTTTGAAGAAAGGTATTTGCAATGAATAAGTCATTGGTCTTGTAAAATTCTACCATGTAATCTGCAGCATCATTTGTATCACCAAGGCTATATTTTTGAACTACTGATCCGTCCTCTTTGTTTTCAACCTCCGTATGCCAATCACCAATAATTATCAATGGCAACATTAACTTTTACAAAACAAGTTTTGAAACTAATAAAATAAAACAAATAGGTATGATATCTCATTGGTCACATAAAAGCACAGAGAGTAACAGTTCCAATTGGAAAGCCAATAATTTGAATGCACAGCTTTAAAAAATGAATCGCATGACAAAATTGACCAAAAATCAACATTTATAAATATACCAATAATAATATTATGGGTGGCATTGTTGGAATTATTATTCTTGATTCTGTGTACTATGAAATAAAGCAAATGAGGAACTGTGTAGTATTCCAAGTATATTATACTAACGTCCTTTTTAAAATCTGATAACTAAAGAGATGAGTTAAACAATCATTTTACACAGTCTGATCAGATTGTGCGTGGTGCTATGGGTTAATGCGCCAGACTGCAAAGCCATTTGAAATGCAAGGTTGGCAGCTCAAGCTCATCAGCTGCTCCTCAGAAATCCTATATAAGGTCGCTATGGGTTGGAATTGACTCAACGGCACTTAACAACAACAACAAAATCAGATGGTGTCATCATGCAAACAAATACTGTCTGGCTGGCTGGCCATGTGACATCGAGTTGATTCCTACTCATGTGACCCTGTATAGGATTTTCGAAGCTGTAAATCTTTACAAGAACAGAAAAGCTCATCTTTCTCCCATCTAGTCCCCTGGTGGACTAGAACTGCTGACCTTGTATTTATGAGCCCAATAGGTAACCCACTATGTTACCAAGGCTCCTAAACAGATAATAGATGATGGGGATTCTCTTTTATACACGTATTCCAGTTAATAAATGAAGAACATTAAAAATAATTATTGTTATTTTGTAAACCTCTGGTGAATTAATAAAATTTGGCAGTGGACATCAATAGCTTCTACCATACTACTAATAAAATGAGACTAACTCTCATTTTATGTAACTCTTCACAAAGGTGTACCTGTGGTAGGCAGGCTTCAGCATATCTTCTAGCATAAAATAGACAAGGAATAAACACCCGATGATCTTCTAAGCAAACTGACCTGTAGAAGTATTATGAATAGCAACAGAACACTGTCTGGTATACTTGCAGTGCTGGGAGATGAGCCTCCTGATTTTTGCACCAATTTATGTGCTTCTTTGCTTGACAAAATATTAGAGGTTTTATTCTATTCAGAGGCAGCTCAGAAAAAAGTTCTGACAAAAAAGCCAACAACTCACTTTTATTCTAACTAAAATTGGGTCACCACATTGGAGTCGAATAGAAGATAACTTTTTTTCAGTCTCTAGTTTAATATTCAAATGTAGCAACAATAATGAGGACAGATCAGGACCAGGAAGTGTTTTTGTCTGTGTATAGGATACTATGAGTCAGAACTGATTAAGCAGTGCCTAACAACAACAGCAGTTTAATATTCATGAAAACCTTTAAAATGATTTTATCAATCTTTGTTTTACTTTT